AGCCGGAATTCCCATCACTAATCTCAAGTTCAGCTAACTTAAATCTGTTGGTTTAAATTTTCAACAACTCATGAGATGACTGAACAAATTAAGTTCAGTTAACTCACATTGTTGAAACTGTTTTAGATCGAACCAGCTTAAAACATTTCATAGTGAAGAAGCATGTTTTTTTAATATGAGGGAACTTTCATTTCTGTTGTAACATTTTCTATACTCCACAATTCTCCAGCATGGAGGACAAACCAACAGAGGCTGAAAAACATTTTTGAGACACACTGAAAGAGAAGCCACTTTACTGTAAGAGGCCAAGTCATTCCTTCCCCTGTTCAGAAACAGGCCCATCAGATACCTAATATATAAAAGTATACTGAGTGAGCTCGGACAAGGCCACTTTACTGCACCTCCTGCACTTTTCCCCGTCAATATAATGGACTTATAAATGGAATAATATAGAAGATCTGAAGTCTGTGTTTGGGCATATAATTTCAGAGGTTCAGAGATGCTTTATGCGGAGATACTTTTTGTCTGTATGTATGTAACTTATACACGGATTGTTTTCACCTAAAGGATTCCAGGCTGACGTGTGTACCGAACAGCTTGTGATCTCACCTCTGTGTCAGGGAGATTGAGGCTGAGGCGTTGGCAGACGGAGACGATAATCAGACTCCACGCTCGCTGATTTTCAGACAAATTAAACGTCAGGGGAAAGCAGGGAGCGGGACCACTGGGCTGCTTTGAAAAGCTGAGGCTATCATAAATTATTAATGGCTCCCCATCACGCCTCCTTCTCTTCATCCATCGCTCTTTTCAACCATCCTGTTCTTCATCCATCTCTCCCTTTTGGCTCTTCAAATGTTGATCACACTTCTTACTTGTTACTTTCTTCTCCTCCCTCACTCTCCCTTTGTTCCTTTTTTTATATTTCTCCTTCCTATACTCTGCACCAATCACCTCCTCTTTTCATCCCTCTTTCCTCCCTCTTTTGTCTTCTGTCCATATCTGTCTTTCCTCTCTCTGTTCTCCCCCTCCTCCCTGCCTCCTTTTTGACTTCACTGAGTTTCATTCCTCCCATCCAGCTGCTCTTGATTACCTCTCCCCTCCTTAATCTTGATCACTTTTTCCTCTTCTGCATATCCCTCCTTCTTTTGCTTTCCCTCCCTCTCTTAATTTGTTCCTCCTTCTCTTTAACCCTTATTTCTTCCTGTTTCCTCTTTGTTATCCCCCATGACCTACTCTCCCTTCTTCTCTCTTCAACCCTCCATCTCTTGTCCTCTTCTGGTTTTATTTATCATGGCTGACTTATTCTCTTCCCTCCTCTATTTTTCTTCTCTTTTACTCACTTTTGGAACATAAAGACTGGCCACTACACACTTGTGTCACCAAACCATTGCTGCAATGGTTAAATTAGCTGGCAAGTAAAAGTCCTGCATTCAAAGTTTTACTTAAAAGTACAAAAGCATTAAAATATACTTAAAGTACCAAAAGTAAAAGTACTCATCATGTAGAATGGCCCATTTCAGAATAATGTATGTTATTGATTATTCTGATTAATGTAATTTTAATTACTTCATATCCTGCTGCGTACCTCTTGAATTTACCACCAGAGGACCATTTAAGTCTTAAAGTAGCTCTCATGGTTTTGGGTTTACTTCTGTTATTTCCTGTTTTATTTTGAAACCTCCGCTTCTTGTGTCATGTTTATATCTTTGTCTGTTTTCCCTCCAGTTTTGATTGTTTGCCCCACCCTGATTTTTTTTTACCTGTCTCCTGCTATCCTTCCCCTAGCCTGTGTATTTAGTCTTTGTGTTCCCTACCTTCCTGCCTACCTGTACCCACACCTCCCCATAAACTCAATTTATATTAAAATCATTTAAGTAATCCTGCTGTTGTCTTCTGTTTGGGTCTTTCTAGGTTTAAAAAAAGCTCATTCTAAGGTAACAAAAACATAAATATTTCTATTTTCAGGTGATTATACACTAATGAAAACATAGCTATATACATTATATTCCATTTCTGCCAATAGATCCTCCTCTTCCCTGTTACACACTGGACCTTTTAACTGTTAACAATTGTGAAGTTGGCCTGCTTCAGAGCAAGGTGACTCTGCAGCATAGGTTACGATGGTGATCTACCCTGATTTAAAAGTGAGCCAGTTTAGTGATATAAAAAAAACTTGAGTTTTTATATAAATATATATATATATATATATATTATACAGGCCCCAGATGACAGTAAGGTAGTGATTCTGCTGTTTTAAATTCAGCTAATCAGTTAGTTATTTTAACTTAATAATTTTATATTTATATTATACTTTAACTCTGTAGGCAGGGAGCTCTGCAGGAGCTGCCATTTTGTTTCCCTTTAATTTCTCCTGTTTCCTTTGTGTTAGAAATGGAAAGTTTAGCATAGTAGCTTTCTAGTTTATAAATTGCCCATTTTATTGGGGTTTTATTTCTAGTCAGTGCTTGTTAGTTTGTTATGTTCACCTGAGCTTCTATATACTATATATCTGGTGATAAAAGACTGGGAAATCAGGCAAACTTTTCTTGACAGGGTGCTAACCTAAGAAAAAAACACAGGCTGCTCTTATGTCATTTTATAAAAAGAAAATCCCATAATGATTCCTAATGGTGTACAATTACTATAAGCTTAGTGCTAATTTTGTATTAATTTTCAGGTGAGCTGCTACAGCTGAATCATGCAGGAAAAAAAAAAAAAAAATCAGTCACCCCAGTGTGAAAACTGGTCTGCCTGCCGCTGTGTGAATTGTTTGGCTCCACCTCTGTTTTTGCATCAATCACTTTTTGTCTTTGTCCTCTCCCTGCCCTTCAGTGCATTTGTCCCACCCCTTTTCCGCTCTTTTCCCTCCTACATCTCCATTAATTTCCCTTAACATTTTAAATGCCAACAAAATGAAATTTTTTTGTGTCATCGGCTCTGAACGTCAGACTGAAGATGTAGCTGTCCAAAAACTATCCATCATGTAATTTATTCTCCTCAGTTATTCGATAACAATAAAAAAATACCTTTAAGGTTTAACATTTGGATTCAGTGCTTTTTAGTTCCTTCCTCACCACAGTAGTTAAAACTGATCCTGATGCGGGTACGGGTATAACAAACCCATAGCTTTACAATGAGCAGAACAGCACTGATTTCCCCCGGTGTGTAATTC